TTGTGAAGATTATTCAGTTATTGATTGAGATCATGAACCGATTGATGTTAGACCACCATTGGAAACCTGGAAGCACTGGACGGCCATTTCGTCCCATTGCGGAACTCCTCAGCAGTGCTCATCTACGATCGCGCCTGCGGGATTCGGATCCAGGGTCTTCAGTCTCGCGCTCGAAAGCCTAACCTACTAGACCACTAAGCTGGCATCCAACGGTGTTAATGTATTTGAGAATTGTCAGCTGAATGTACCTGCATCCCAGAGTTCATGTTCACTCGTTCGCTTCAAACGCCATTGCGTTATCCACTTAATCACTGTGTCCAGATATCCAATAGCCAGTGTAACGGGACGAAGTTTAATTCGTCTGTATTGGTTGTGTTCAACCACTTCATTGATGTTCATGATTGCAATCGATCAGTTTCTTTATAATGCTTGTGAATTACTGGTAGTATCTAGGATACACATACGCCAAAAAGAGACTGATCAATAACAATCCCAAATATTATGGGGAAGAATAAACAGCCGAAATAAACAAATGTACAGCTTGATAATAAATTCGTCCAGTGCTTCCAGGTTTTTAATGGTGGTTGAGCATCAATCGGTTCATGATCTCAATCAAAAAACCTGATAATCTCCACGACCCTGTACTGATAATTGCCGTGTTCCCACTAGTGACTAGCTTCGTGAAGGAATTCTCGTAGTTCTAGTTAGAAGCCGTGACCAGTGGAGCTAATCCGTGTCTTATAGAAAAATATATCTACCTCAATACAATGAAAGATGGTCGCGCAATGCCGTAGATTGGTTGAGGTTAGACATTAGCACCGTTGGATGCCGGCTCAGTGGTCTAGCGCTCGAGCGCAAGGCTGATGGCCCTGGTTTCGAATCCCGCAAGCGCGCATTGCTGAGGAGTCCCACAATGGGACGAAGCAGCCGTCAAGTGTTTCCAGGCTATATATTTGTTGGACAATCAATTTTCAGATCTTACGAATCTTCCATACCTTAACATTTGCAAACGCTATGAACGTTACGAAGTACCGGGACATAACAATGATCCCTTTTAACGTTCCTCACTTCGTGTGCAGAATACACGAACCCAAATGAAATGGGTGATATTTGCAGGTTTAGTAACTTCATGTAGAACACATTATCCCATAACACTGGATTTCCTTACTCAGATTGAATACTAGTAAGCAATCTGGCAAAACTTTATTCCTCTAAATCCACAGTTTCAGGACTTTATTTGTTTCATGGATTAGTTATATTTCGGATTCCTAAAATAACAAAATATTATTCATCAACGATGTTTGCAAAACGGAAAAAGTGGTTAGATAAGGGTTTTCTAAACACATGACACACGTGAGAACTTAGAAATCGTTCAGCAATTGCCATTCTAATTATCCGGATTTTAGTTAGTTTTAGAATAACGAACTGGTTCTAAAATATTTAACTGTGATGACAACATAAAACTAACTACCTTGTAATATTGCAATACGATCATTGGCAAACTAAGAAATAACACTTCTACATAGTTTACGATGTTCGTATCCACATTAATTTGTTTCTTTTTTAGAAATGTAGGCACACAACACTTAATCAGTTCTATTTTTGGTTGATTAATCGAAATAATATAACACGTTAATCTGACTGTTTATCATAACAATTTAAACTTGATGTACATAAATGAACCTGATTAGCATATTCCGACCACAATTGTAAGTGAGTAATTTCAAATTGTTTTATTTATTTTGAGTGTAGAGAGGACTTTGGTTATTTGTCTATAAATAATGAACAAAAGATGACTACAAGATTTGTTGTAATTATGTATCACATTTATTGAAGATGAAATCTACTTTTCAATTCACTAAAACAAACAGTGGTAGTAGTCACTTAGAAAATCCGATGTCCGCAGAAAAACAACATACTTGTGGATCTATTTATGAAACCGAGATATCAAGGGAAAATAGTAATAGATTAACAGAAAAATCTAAAAACGACTTTGAAACTACTTCAGGTAAACATCACCAAAACGTGCCAAAATCATTAGGTTTTCAGCATGAAGGTAAAAACCTATTAATGACCATCGAATTGATGAAGACAGTATGAAACAGCAGTTACCCAGTAATGTGGGACAACGAAATAATCCACACAGTGAGAAAGCTGTTAATAATTCTGAAAACGTTATGGATAATGAAAAAAGTTTAAAAATCAAAGCGAAATGTATCATATGACAATAATGTGGACGCTAGATCTGTGGACAATTCATCAAATGCTGGAAGTAAAAATTATTTCATCAGCTCTTCATCGACTATGTGCTCCGCGACTGAAAAGTTTACACCAAAAAATTACACAGACTCCATATCACTAATAGCATGGCTCAGACTAGACGATAGTGACTTCAAGGACTAATGCCACGTTTTGGTTTGGCCAAACGTAATTTTCTCCCATCCGCATCCAAAACTAGTCGGCATTGCACACAGTGCAAGTTGGTGGTTGGGCATGCGTAACACGTTGCCTTAACATCTCAGTCGATGAGGATTTACAATCACAACGACTGATTTACCATAATTCCCTAATACCCTGCGTCTAACCTCACTATTACTTATCTGATGGCCACAAAAGATGCGGGCAATATTTCTAAGGCATCTGTGGTCAAATACTAGAAGCTTACGAGGATCTTCTACTCTTAATGGCCACGTTTTGCAGCCGTAAAGTAGAACAGAACGAACTGCCGCGCAGTATACTCGTCCATTAATTGATAGACGGCTATCTCGCCTTCACCATAGGTGATGTAAGTTGGCAAAAGCCAGACGAGCTTTTCAAATCCGTGCTGAGATTTCTTCAGACACCAACCCACTACGGCTGACCAGACTTCCAAGATAAGTAAAGTTGTTGACACCTCCGACTACTTCCTCCCCTATCCTTAGTTCAGGTGTTGACACAGGCCAGTTCTAAAGCAACAACTTGCATTTAGAGGGGGGAACGCATCCCAAAAATTCCGGCATTGTTGCTAAGTGCTACCAGAAGACTCTGCATTTTGTCAGCATCTTCACCAAACAGGACTATGTCATCTGCATATTCTAAGTCGATAAGTGGACCTCCTGGAAGAAGACCGATTCCTGAAAATTCAGATGACGAGAACGTTATTCCCAGCGGTAGGCCTACGATGAAATTGAACAGGGATGGAGATAGTAAACAGCTTGCCAGACACCACTTGAAGTTGCAAACTCGAATGACAGTTCGCCATAAGCTCTGACTCAACTATTAGTGTTCGAGTAAAGAGCCCTCACAAGGTTTATGCACTTCTGAAGTACACCTTTCAATGATGGACACTGCCACAGAACTTCTCGGTCTACAGAGTCAAATGCTGCTTTTAATTCATTGTCGAACGCCGATAAGCATGCCTGTATCCTAGAAACTGACGAGTGTTGAATATGTGATCGACGCAGCCACGACCAGATCTGAATTCAGCCTGATTTTCTCGTATTTTCAGTTCACGAGTCTTAATTAGGCGTCCGATAATTATTAAGGCTAGTATTTTAGATGCTATATTAGTCAAACTAATCATTCTATGGTTGTCACAGGATGATTTTGATCCATTCTTATATATTGGGACAATCAGTGATTGTGACCAGTCAGGTGGGATGACGTTCAACTCTGGGTTATCCTCGATTTCAGAACTACCTAAGTGTGACTCTAGTTGTTCTTAGGATCTACTTTTGGTTTTCTCTTCACTTTATTCAATTCTTATACGTCTTCTTAGTGTGGCCTTTCTGCGTCCAGTGAGGTGCTAGCAGGTATTTCAGAACGAACGACAATCTTCTATCGACCCTTTCCAACTATAACTAATGGCAATATGGTATATTGGTGTCCATTGTTGGTTTGGTGCAGGGGGCCGTCATATTAGACGATGTATCTCCTTATGCTTAAAATAGTGCTCTCTCTGATGTCTCTGCTTAAATTAGTGCTCACTATAAATAAATGATTGTCTGAGCACAGTTGAGAAAGACGATCACCATTATCTGTTCGCTGAGCCGGAACACTAAAATGCCCATTTAAATGTGTTTCTGTTTCGTTTAAGCTACTTACTTGGGCATTAAAATCACCTACTACGAGTACTATGTCTGAGCGTGAAAATCATCTTTCACTTCATCCGGGCTGCAATTAGTGGGTGCGTAGGCAGAAAATACGAAAAGGCAACGACGTGTGTCCCTATCCTACCGAGTTCTTACGGAGCCGTTTAGCCGAATAGCACATAGACGACTGTTAACGGGGATTCACTCTAATAGTGCTTGTTCTGACCTCATACTTAGTGCTATGCCTACACCTGCCGATCCATGAGAACTAGCCATCGGGTCGCCAGATCAACGGAGGGTGTATCTCGTTGGCTCTACGTTTTGGAGAGGCGAGATCAAGTGAATGATCACATTAGGATCCTGTATGCGTGTTTCGGAGACAGCACACATCGATGGTACGAGGTTCTAGGGTTTTAGCCAAGGAGGCATGCTGACCGATTTGACATTAGGGTGCGTACGTTGAAGACTCGAATGTGTAGTTTGGAGCGAGATTTCAGTAGACCTGAGACAGTATTTTGCGCACTAGAGCCGTTAGTCATGGTCGCAGTCGAGGAGGAGGTTTAGGTTTGAAAGTCGATGTAGGAGAGATGATAGGAATTGAAAAGGGAGGTTGATTATGAATACAGTGGTCTTGAGTGCTGTTAAAGGTATGAGGGCGGTTATCACTGTCCGGTTGCACACACCGTAGAAGGATTCTTCTAGAGGTACCTGAAAAGGAAATTGGGATAGAGTTGGTCTTAGTGATCTGAGAGCGTGACTGCGGTGCCGAAGGGACAACTGCTTGAGGTCGGTCACATACGACTTGTTTGTGGGTATTTCTGTGTTAGCTCCGTACTTGCTGAGACCTTACCGCCGGAGAATGAAATCCGTGGGATAAGATGAGTTGTGTATTTTTAGGGTCAACCTTTTCTAACCTCACCCTTCTATTGTGGGAAGGCAGTATCATTGCTATGCTGGTTGTCTGAGAGAAACCCCTTACTGCTGTCACACTTTTTTACAGTTAGTAGTGCAAATTCACCCTCGGACCTTGGGTTTGCTGCTTTTAGTCGTACCGCTCTTCAACCGACCTGTCAGTCATTGTAGAACCTTGAGGAACGATTGTTCCAGCCAGTATAACTCGGTTGCTTCATCACGATGGGCAAGCCCGACCACCACGTCAAGGTAGCAACAACGGCCGGGCAAAAGTTTACCATGTGCTTAAGTCGGTACGAGTCCGAATTCATCTTACCTAGCAACCAACAAGTTGGATTGTGAAGCAAGATCCTAAAGTTTCTGCACCAGAAATAGTTTCTGATAAGGATGTCACATTTTTATAAAAGATAGGGTTGGTCAACTTACCTGCTCGGTTCCAGCCATAAACTTCGTTGGCATTGTAGATTCGTACTCCAGTGCATATGCACCCTGAGCACAAGAAATGTCTTGTTTTTTGGTAGGGTCAAGGTAAAGAAATTCTGTAGGTTCAGACATCTTTCTAACATCCCACCAGAAAACTTGTCCATCGGTCCCAGTGGAGAAACACTCAGTACCAGTTTTCGATTGTATCCACAGCGTTTTCCAGACAGGATCTCTATGACTATGCTCAACTGGAGATAATTCAACTGGGAGTGAGCCCCTACGCCTGTCCCAGAAAGCTAAGTTTTGAGAATGTGACGAATTCAAATATTATTTACCCAACTGTCCATTGTAACATCCCCCAATTAACGTATGAGAGTCTTTAGGGTTGTATTCTATACAAACAAGAGGAGAAGCTGGTTTAAGTATCAACTCTGGTCTATTGGGATTGTTTAAGTCCCATATATATGAATCATTCGATAGGGACTGAGATTGAAACTCCATGTTACAGTAAGCAACTGCTAATTTCGTTGGACCATCTGTAAACCAGGATAAGTAGGCAACGCTGCGCTTATAATCGTTTATGTCTCTAAATCATCAAAATATAAAGATGAACTTGTTTCACTTTAGAACGTTTATAGTCTTTGCAGATAGGGAATCTTCAGAAGCATTTAGATACACGTCATCGAAGTAGTTCTCGTATATGTTTAGGGCATTATTTTGTTTAATACAATGTTCCATAATCTGTAATGATAATAATTATGAAAAGGAACATACGTTTCCTAGTTTATGAACTGTCGCAATATAGACGTCTTCTTTCTCAACTTTCTTTCGATATCTAATTACCTGATCAGGTTCCTGCGGATTGACATCTTTCGGCCAGCCACCCTCCGTGTGATTCATTCCATGTGTTTCTGATCTGTACCTTTCAGTATTGACTTCGTGTTCAGACATTTCTTGTGAGCACTGAACACCTTTGTCTACAGGATTCATTTCGATAAACTTTTGAGACAACTCTGCATCCGGTAATATTTCTATCAGGACTTCAGCATTTTTGTCGCTTAAGTTACACTGCCTCCCGAATTCGGAGCGTTTTTTAGAGTAAACATAACTTGCTTCCATTTTTCAATTTGTGCGGTCGTTTGGTATCAGTGGTATCCAACCTTGTAAACACTAAAACAAACATAAAGTACTAAATAAAAAGTCTGCAGTTGTAAAAATAGTAGGTCTCTCGATCTTTTAAATTTTTAAGTAATGTTCTCTAGATAAGGTTTAGATTATTACTGAAGGCATTCACTTATACTGGTGTTACAACCTGTTCGAATCGAACATTCCATGTAATTCATCAAGGTACTGAAGTAAGAAGGTCTGAGCAAATATGAGAACAACAAAGGCATCAATTAACTATCAGCACCAGGAAGAGTTTCCAACAATGTTGCTCAACTAGATGAAAGACTCAGTTCTTTTCAGGAAGATTTGGGAGGAAAAATAAATGCCGAAAAACTGAAAAGAAAGATATTTAATCAACTTGCGGATGAAATTAGGAAACTAGAGAGACATCACACTACTCTCAGTACCAGGAAGGGATTTCAACAGAGTGTTGCCCAACGAGATGAAAAATTCAGAAGACACCGAACATCGAGGTCGACTGGCTGGACTCCGTGACGGTCGGTCGTTCACATACCGAATCGCGACAGTACGGATCATCTTTGAACAGTCGATTGAGTGGAACACTTTAATATGAATCAACTTCATTTATTATGAAAACGTACTTGACAGTGTGAATGGTAAAACTTTATGGAGGCTTCTTCGATATCTTGGAGTACCCGAGAAGATCGTCAACATCATCCGGAATTTATATGACGGACTCAGTGCACAAGGGTGCATGTAAGACAGCTGACAGACGCATCTCAAGTGAGGATCAGTCAGACAGGGCTACTTACACTCCACCTTTCTCTTTCTTATGGTGATTGAATGGATTATGAAGACCTCGATATCCGGAGGGAAGCTCGTTATAAAATGTACAGCTCGGAAGCATTGTGATAAACGAACAATATAGCTTTAAGCTGTCAGGCGCTTATTTAGTCACACGGCAGATGATTGCACGTTGACTACAACCACGTAGGATACTGTAAATTAAGAAAATAGGAGAACCGAAGTATTTTTTGTAGTTGAATCAAATAAGGTTAAAAATAGAACGTGATGGTAGTGTCTAGAACTCAGGAAAGATAGGTCCAACTAAAATGACCGTGAGGGTTATTCACGTGTAACTTATAGGAAAATAAGCCGGCAACAGTGCCCTTTTTTTATTAAAGGTACCCAATCGATTGCATGAAACGTAAGGCCTGTTAATAGTAGAAATTTATCAATGTAATTGACCAACCATCCACCTTTTTCTTTCTCCCATTAATTGACTGGATTATGAAAACCTCGACATCTGGAGGGAAGTACGGACTATAATGGACAGCCCGGAATCAACTAGAAGATTCGGATTTCGTAGACGACCTGGTTCTTTTCTTCCATGCAGACGAGCAAATGCAGATGAAGACAACTAGTGAAGCAACAGCCTTCGCATTAGTAGGCCTCAACATACACAAGTGTAAAAACAAGAACCTCAAGCACAACACAGGGAACATCAACATAATCTCATTTGGTGGAGAAGCTCTGGATCAGGTGGAATCTTTCACGTACCTGTACAGCATCATTGGTGAACGTGTAGAATCGGATGCTGACGTAAAGGCGAGTATCGCCAAAGCATGGGCTGCATACCCACAGTTCAAGAACACATGGAACTCAAAACAACTGTCAGCCAATATCAAAGTCAGAATTTTCAATACGAACGTCAAGATAGTCCTATTGTATTGAGCTGAAACGCGGAGAACTACTACAACAATCATCACGAAGCTACAAGTATTTATAAATAGTTTTCTACCTAAGATACTTAGTGTCTGTCGGTCTACTGTGAGAGAGGACAAACCAGGTTCGAGTTGAACAATAAATTAGGAAAAGACGTTCGAAATGGGTGGGACATACATTACGGAAGCCACCAAATTGCATCACGAGGTGAGCGCTAACTCTGAATTGTGAAAGGAAACTGAAATTAGGAAGGCCAAAGAATACACTGCGCCGAGAATTGGAAGCAGACGTGAAAAAGACGATTAGCCTCTGGAGAGGATTGACCAAGACAGGATTGGATGGCGATTGTTGGTGAACAGCCTGTTCTCCACTAAGAGAGGTAAGATGAGCTGATATGTAAGTACGGCGATTACCCAGTATGATAATATATTCAGTATAACATTGATTTATTCCAATGTTATGTTCATTCAATGTATAATTGTTTGCTTAAGTTGACTTCAACATTTCTCAGGATGACACGCAGCATGCGGTTTCGTTATAGTTTCATGCGTGAGTTTTTCTAATTAATAGCTTATTTTTGTGGAATTCAGTGTACAGATGTGCATATTTTTGACTAAGTTTGTCGTGTTTGTGTGTACAAACCCCCCGCTTGTATCAGTCATTTATGTTCTCAGTTCGCGTCATGGGAACTGCAGTGGTTCCTCATTTTATAGCTTCTAAACACAAAGCTGAACCCAAAAGCCTTATTCAGAACTATAGAGGAATTGGAATCACCCTCACTGTTTTCGCGTAATTGGTCAGCAACTTCATAACTTATTAGTTACCCGACCATCTGTTAAGTAGAACCTTGCTCAGTGATTCAGAATATGACCCACTCAAAACAAGGTGGTTAACCAAATACTATATGGATTTCTCCAACTAGACCATTAAAAACAAAGGCAAGTTAACTGTTGTTCTATACTTCGGCAAATTGCCACACAATCTATTAATCGATAAATTGTTACCTATCAGAGTTAGTAACCCATTCTAGGTCGATCAAATTTTTTTCGAAAAAGCGACTTGATTTAGCTTAAATAAATGCCGTGACGTCTTTATCTTGCATAATGATCAGTTATGTTACGCAGTGGTGTTTATAGAGTCCACCGCTTTCCATGATATACATTGACATTTTATGAGGGATGTTCCTCGAAGGTAAGCCATGCTTGTGCGTTGATGACTAGAAGTAGCTTGGTCATGATTTTCCGAGTAATGCAGAATGGACTGAACAAACAATGTCAATAATAAAGCCTGCAACTTATCACTGAGAAACACAGATAAGTATTAAAGACTTCAAGCTTATATTTAGTTACTTAACGTCACACAAACTAGGATCTGTGGATGGCCTACGACTGCAAAACTATCATTGCCTAGACAAATCCGAAAAAACTTCTAAAGTATATCGTTGGTAAAAAATATTAATTACCATCAAAATTAACCCCTGGTCCTCTTAATTAATTTTACAAAACCATTAGATTTTGTAATAAGCATATTTATGCTGGTAGACCGATGGATCCATTATAACTTAGTTGGCTGGCTGCAGCATAACTGTGCAGTCTACATGATGCTTCCATGTAGCCACATCACTCCTATTCCCTACTCACCGTACGAAGCAGTGGGGGGTATTACGGAATAATTTATGAAATATGAAAGGAGTAGACAAGGCAAACATTTCTTTACCGCCGAACCAGGAAGTCTCAATATTATGATTGTTCTGGCTCTTATCGACCTTCATCAATTATCATCTATCATTTGAACTTTAGTCTAAGTCTCCTAAGCTAGTATGCATTCAGATTTAAAGATCGTGTTGTTAGAAAGTGGAGTATTTCCACTGACATCAATACTTGCATTATAACTGTTATGACCTTGAGTCGCTTTTACCCCGTGATACTTGTTATGACTTCACCTTGATCTGTTTAGACTAAACTGTGACCTTGACGCGCTAGGCTGAGTGGCTTAACCTTGAGTCTAATACGCGTGAGTTCGATCGGGGTAGAGAGAACTATTCTAAATCCTGATTGGTTGGCAAGCACGCGAGTGAAAGAAGACAAGACAGTTGGAACACTAAACTCTGGATTCTCTGAATTCGGATTACTACAAAAATGTACATGAATAAATAAGTGCATATCTTGACCACGACGTACAATAATTTGGAAAAATACAGTTATGCCCGAAACAGGGAATTAGGGTAGAAAATATAGTGCAAAATATAATGTTTAAATTACAATATTTTTGGAACAAAAAAGGGTATGCTAGTGAATGATACATAGAACGAAAGCTCGTGTTATGTAGAATAAGGTAGGGACAAAAATAAATATAAGTGTTTTACAGGTTTTGAATGAAATGCAATAACGTCCCAAGAAAATGGCTTTCGTAATTGTCTGGGCTTCTTAATTCCCCGTTCGTAACACCTTCCCCCTTAAAAAAAGAAAAAAAAAGTGGTTAATTACTATATACAGGTAAGTGCTGAGATATCATCATTGATATCTTCCTTCGGAAACGTATGTTCTCCTCTTTGGGTCTACCTGTAGAATATCTGGTCTTCTGCGTTTCCGTGATGCTTTCCTAATAGGACCTTGTTCATGTTGCGCAGTCTTCTGAGTTGCTGAGCATTTTATGTCGAAATTGTCCAGAATGATTCTCCACATTGAGTCTAATTTCTCGGTTTTCTGTGAAGTGCCAGCATTTTCCAGTATGTGGTTGACATGGCGTGTCCACTTCTGTCCTTCAACTTCCACCACATACATTACGTTCCCTTGTCTCTTAAGTATGCGTCCACTGGTCCATTGTGGAGGTGAATATCGGAAATCGCGGACGTATACTTCTTGATTTTTTTGGAAAATTCCGCGTTTTGCTCCATGATGGCGATCAAATTGGTTTTCCATCTTTCTGTTTCTTTTTCCGATGTCTATTTGCTGTGGTTTTATGGCATCGAGAGCAGTTCTTACTTTTCTACCAAACATAATTTCTGCTGGGGACATTTGATTTGGTGTTGATGGGTTTGGAGTTGTTCTATAGACCAAGAGAAAGTCATCAAGAATCTCCTCTATCTTCCCCTCCCCTTTTGCCTTCAGTAGCGCTCTTTTGAAAGTATCTACAAACCTTTCGGCCTGACCATTCGATTGTGGATGGTACGGAGGTGAACGGACATGTTTGACTCCAAACCTCTTGCAGAAATCTGAGAAGATGGAAGAAATAAACTGAGTGCCGTTATCTGTCACGAGAACATC